TATTAGAGTCATGTTAAAGGCAATATACTTGCTTTTAAGTTAAAAAACTTAGATTATTTGTGATCAGCATATTCAGTGGAATACTTCTGGCTAAGTAGCCCTCTGTTTATTGTTGCAGTTGTCATTGCAAATAGTTGTAAGATAACAAGATACATTCCGACTATGTCCACCATCATATGATCATGTCTTATTTATTCATGTAGAACAGTCAAATGAGAGAGAAATGCCAGTTGGTCTTCTGGAATGTGATTTGCAGGGCAAAGGTGCAAAAGTCAGGAGTTTTGCTTTATTGGCACAATATTGTTTACTTCCTTGTAATACTCAAAAGAAACAGGTGTAATCCGCCTTAAATGCTTGTGAATGAAGGAGATCTGTAATCATTGATGGAACTAAAAAACTAGGGCTGGAAAGACTCTGGACAGCTCATCTAGGTGATCTCTGTACCCAAAGGCAAGATAACTTAATGAAAACCATTCTTGACTGACACTTGTTCTTCTGTGTCTGCCTTATTGATGGTTTCACATAATCTCTGAGTGATTTTTCTATTGCTTATCTGTCTTTTCTATTGAAAAGCGGTTTTAGCAGAAGCTTCTCATGCTTATTATCATTACTTTTTTTCCTATTCCTAGAAGAGTTGATTTATTTTCTTTATTTTCTGCAACAGCATTTTTCATATTTGAAGACTGTATCACGTCTCCCCTTGGTTTTCCCTACTTTAGACTAAATAAACATAATTTTTCAGTGTTTCTAACAGGTCACATATTTTTAGATCTTTGTCATTCTTATTTTCTCTTCCTATCTGCTTCAACTCATCTGGTATTTTTTGAAGAGTTTTGCTTAAAGCTGGACTCTGTATTTCTCTGTGTTCTTCAGATTTTTCTGGTTTAGGCTAGGTGACATCTGAGTACATGTATACATCATACATCTCTATCCCATTATATATTTTTGTGCAGTGAAGTACATTAAGTCAAGTTTAGACTTGTTTCAAAACATATGGGATAAGATGAAATCAGAGGAAAGACATCTTACTATCTATATGAGTTTTGGTTGTCTTCTGTTTGCAGTGTAAAAATGAATCGCAGAAATCCAGCACCACTGCTGATTTCTTTTGGAAAGTCTTCTCCACCTTGCTCTTTGGGCTCAAAACTATATCACTGAAATCAATGGAAGGAAAGAGCTTGAGGCTTTTTGATGTATGGATTTTGCATACTGTGTGATGAAAAGAGAACTGACAGGCTGAGAAAAAGCATGTGCCGTAGCAGAAGTGAATGACTTCTCCCAGTGACAAGCAAGAGAGTATTTAGTGCCAATTAAGACTTTGATCCTGAAATAGAAGGGATGTGCAGAGAATTACCTCTATCGCTTTCTCTTGCATAACTTTTAATTCACAAGCTTTGAGATAATTTGGAGAACTGGATCTCTAGCAAACAATTGTTAAAACTCATGCAAACTCAGTAATTTGCTCCATGTTTAATGAACAAATGTCCGCTAGTAACAGTTTCCAGCGAGTAAATGATAGGCTTGTGAGATATGAAAGGTTCATGCAAACTTTGTTTGGAAGGACAAAATTTGACTAGTAGAAGATTTGATTGCCCATTAACTTATTTTCTGTTCTAGTATTCATAATTTAATAGTCCTTCCGTTTTTCTGCTATGGAAAATGATATTAGAAATATTGATGGTAATGCACAGTTGTGAATGAGTATCTATACTATCCTTATGGGGCTATCAAAGGAAAGATGTGCACACTCTCTCCCTCTCTCTGACACCTTATTTTGTGGTGGTAGAATTTTACTTGTTAAGTAGTTTCAAGTTATTAGGGCATCTTGCAAAGTAGAGCTTATATTTGTAAGTGTAATAAAATATAGCCCTTTGACTCACCATTTCCCTCAGTGTATTTTTATACTTTTAAAAAATATTAATTTCATGTTTTGAAAGTCTCAAATGTTAGCCTTGGAATCTGAAATACTTTATTTAGAGAACATAAGTGCTCAGGCTGTTTCAGGTCTCAGGCTGATGTTAGTGTTCCTTAACCTGTAGTGAAATGGGCTACCTCCATGAGTGAAAAGCAGTTTCAGTTTTTAAACCCAGTCTAGTTTATTCCTTTTTCTTCAAATGGCTAACCAGGGCAGTGAATGGTGCTTGGAAGATTTTGGATCAAAAACGTGTTGATCTTCATTTAAGGAGCTAAATTAAAGTTTTAGCCATCCGAAATTTCAACAGTGAGCTTGCCTAGTGGTCATGTTCAGAGTAAGAAATGTTCACTTTGTGTTTGTGTATGTAACAACAGATACAAGTACGACCTTCAGAAGTTGCCTTGATGTTTGAAATTACTTGTTTCCAGAGGAATCTAATGTGCACTCAAACATGCTGTGTTAGCACTCTGCAGTCTGAAATGTACATGGCCATCCCTGGGCAATTAACCGTGAAGGAGACTGAGCGTTTGAACTTAGCAGTAAGGAATGGCCATTAGCAAATTATGTTGTTAGCTTGCTCATGCTACAGTATATTAAAAAATCTGATAATTAAGGATTATACACAGAAGACTTTGAAAATGACAGGGAAAAATATAGGGTTTGGGGAATTTATTTTTTTTTTTTGCTAGACATCTGGCACTTTTAGATGACATCATCTCTTTCAGAAGCGTTGTCCGGATAAGCGGTAAATGGTTGACTTGGTTTATATTGTGGTCTGGTTGTTCTGTGATGAATAGAAACTAAAGCTACTGAAACAACACTTGGTTTGCTTTCTTGCTTTGAAATACCAAACAATAAAACTAACCTACAGAAAAAAAGGTCTTACACCACAGATAAGTTCCCTGCATTTTTACAATAAAATTTTCAGAGTGATTTTAAGTTGGTCTTCTGCCACATTGGATTATCTGTCATCTTCACATACACAACTCATCCCATCTGTATTTTTTGCAATATCATGTAGTACTCTTTGCAGGATTTTGATATCTAGAAACTTACAATCACAACTGCATGTGTTCTCTTCTGTGTTTTGAACAAGAAGAGGTGATTTTTTTCCTTTCTTCTTTCTTAAAAACCTGCAGTGTTGAAACTGGAGACAATAGGATACAAAAAAATGCTCTCAAATCTTCTGAGGTTATTTATGTGCTAGTTGAACAGTTAAAACTGTTTTGCTTTCTAGCGTTGGTGCCTGTATTTTTCCCTTACCTACATATCTGAAGAACTGCATTCACAACTTGTGATTTGTGGATACTTGAATAGAAAATAATTTAAATTAATTTTTTCCTACATTAAATTTACTTGCAATTTACTGTTTAGCCTAAAAGTGTGAAAGGTGGTAAACCAGAAATTGTAGTGAGCACTATGGAAGCTCCATTGCCCTGAGATCTTCAAGGCTCTTCCTTTAGTCACCTCCTTCCTACTGCTTCACACCACCTCGTCTTAGGCAGTGACATGGCAATATCAGTAGGCAAGCTACATCTCTTTCTTCTTGGCATTGTGTTTTGTGTGGCTCTAATGTGAGAAAACCCTGTAATTTCCAGCCTAGCCTGTTGGAATTCCCCCTGTCAGAGCCCAAACAGAAGATATATTTGTGTGCAGAGACTTTGAGGCCAGAAGACATTGTTATGACCGTTCCATCTGACCTCATGAACATAACTGTTTACACTAGAACAGGATTGCTGGAATTGGCACAACTCAAGCTAAGGCTCTTCTGCAGCTAACTTGAGCACCCAGAGCTGTCTGTGGGCAAACCTCCCCTGAGCCCTGGCCTCAGGCTGGCTCCAGAGCCAGAGCAGACCTGTCTCTCCCTGCAGTGCTGGGTGTATGCTTGTGGCAGGGCAGTCTCTTCCAGGTGGGCTCACAGAGGTCCTTGGTGTCCACCCACAAACTATGGTGTTGTCTCAAGCCTTCTTGCCTCTGCTTAAGCACCTCTGCCTGCTTTTTGTAATGGCTAAGCTACAGTACTTTGGTACTTATACAGTGCCTTATATAGTACCTTACAGGTACTTATATAGTACCTGGGTTCCTAGCATTCTTCATGATAACTCTGTATTATCTCTTCTTGTTTGGATAAGTGGTAAAAGGTGGTCACTTAGAAGAAGGACAACATATTTATACAGTGGTAGTTTTCTAAGCAAACTGACTGAACTTCATTAGGGGAAAATTTAATGTACTATAATTTAATGTACTATAAATTAGTATTTGAATGTAAAATTCCCAATATTTACTTGCTTTCCCTGACATGAATTTGATAACCCTTAAATAGTACAACCTGTTGATCCTCGTATAATGAGCTAAATTAATGTTTTAGCCATCCAAAATTTCAACAGTGAGCTTATCTAGTGGTCATGTTCAGAGTAAGAAATGTTGATAATACTTAAATAATATGAAAACAAGCTTTCTTTATCAGACAAAATTTTTATTGATGATCTGTCAGTCTTTCAGTAATTTGTAAAATGCCTCCCAGAAAATTTTGTCCTAAAGCTTTTATTAACAGCTTTCACTCTAAATGACTGTTTTGTTATGGAATTTTAGAACAGCATATACTATAAATTAACCTTTTTTAAGAGAGGAAGTTTGTAACTAAATGAAGTGTATGAATAATGTAAATATGGCTATTGTATAGGTGGGACTATATACATATAAAACACATTACATTTTATAAATAATTATATAGCATTTATGTATAATAAGTATTATACATAAAAATAGATTATATTATCTTCATAAAATATACATAGTTAAGTATTTTGCATTATGCAATGTTGTCCCCAGAAATTAGGAGACTGAGAACTGGTTAACTGAAGAAAATTGTGAAGCTATGAATTTTGTATTTCATATTGAAGATACTAAGAGTACGTGAGCATAAAATAGGAAAGTGTTAATATAGTACATGAATAATCATCATATTCATATATGAAGATAACAGACAATAAATTCTTCAGCAATTCAGAGTGATTTCCTGCAATATTTTAAATATTATTATGGGTTAGATGTAACTGTAATGTTTATATTACCTTTATTTTAGATATCTGATATCCATGTTACTGGAGAGTCAGAGGACATGTCTGCTAAAGAGAGACTGCTCCTGTGGTCGCAGCAAACAACGGAGGGTTATGCTGGAATACGTTGTGAAAATTTCACTACCTGCTGGCGTGATGGAAGATTATTTAATGCCATCATTCATAAATACAGGCAAGTACTCCATTTGTTCTCTCGGAAACTATTAAGTACAGCATTTTAGTGTACATAGAGGGGGCTCTGTGGTTTATGCCTGTAACAGCTGTGGAGATGACACTGACTCTTCCTGGGCGATTTCCTGCTCTTTACTGCCAAAGGATGCCTCGTTATCCTTTGCATGCCCCTCCTTCCTCAGACGAGTATCTCCATGAATCCTACTCATCTCTCATGGGGCATCTCCAAGCAGCTAAGAAGAATGTCCCCACAGTCCCTTTTTGTCATAATGATTTTAAGAGTAGGGTAGAGGTAGAACTGATCACCAAAATCCACTATTGTGCTACTGGGAAAAGCCGTCAACTACTGCATGACCTGGGATATGTCTGAGATCCCTGGATTCTTCCTTGTATGACTTTACCATGTCCGTGGAATATAGAGCTTCTTCAGTGTTTATGCTTAAAGCCCAGATCTACTCTGAGATGCATCTCCTATAAAATGGCAGAGTATTCTCATGGCTGGCTTGAATGTTCTCAGTCTGAGAAGGGATTTGTGCTACTGTACGCTTGTGTGACTACACTCTTACAAAGTGAAGCAGGCATTGTTAGAGCCACTGCTGGCTGTGACTACGGGCTAAAGGATACGGTATGTTAACTTGAAATATAGCTGAAGATGTCTGCTGACAGCAGAGGCTTTCTAATTCTGGGTTCGAAGTGAGAACAGGTCTCTCTTGAAGAAGCTGGCTTTGGTATCTAGCTTGTCAGAGGAACAAGATTTAGTCATTGCTGTGCTCAGTGTTCCCTCTTGGTTGGCAGCATCTCTGTCTTATTGTGTATTTTTTGGTTCCTGAGCTGAATAAGAAGGTTTGTGTCTTAGAGGACCACATGGGAGAGTGCTCTGGCTGCTGGCCTAATTAGTGTGTACTGACTTGTCCTTCACTACACAAAGCTTTCTGGGTTTTATCATAGCATATGTAGTTTGTACTGTATGCCCTGGAGCATATCATAAGGAAGTCTAAGAGTACACAATTTCCTTGGTATCAGGTGAAAGAGTGTCCCTAGTAAAGCCAAATTTGGTGTGTTTTCATGCAGCTGTAGGGAACAGAGCCTGCAGCAGACTATTCTGTTCTTGGATTTCCTCTTATGAGACTACTTGACCAACCACAGAAAGAAGTCTAGGCAGACATAACACACATGTTGTCCTTGTAGGGATTAGGACACTGAAATAAAATGGGAGACGAGTCAAGCAGGTGCAACCTTTTCATCACAGGCTGTGTATAAAGGCTGTAAGCATCACGTATAGTGCTCAAAGTCCCAGAGAAGTTAGCTGTGGCAGTGCATAACTTTGTGGTAAAATTAAGCTGCATCTGAATCAATGAGGTCTTTTTCTGACTATGCTTCTGTTCTGGGTAGCCAGTCGGGGAGGAGGTGCATGCCAGCAAGAAAGTCTCTTTTAGTAACATTGGCAAGACAAAAGGAAATAGCTGGCAAAAGACTAGACTGTTTTACTTCAAGACAGAGCAGCCAAAAGAATGAACATAGCACAGACAAGTATTTGTAACAATAAACAATATGAAATATACAAAGAGATTGGAGAGAAAAAAACGAAGAGTTTAATGAAATGGAATAATGGAAAATATTTTCCAGAGCTTCTTCATATCTTACATAGAGCAATGTAGCCTTTACATACATCTTACATAGAGCAGTGTAGCCTTTACAACTCAGCAACTAGTAGTTGTGGTACAGATCAGTTAATAAATAATGAAAAACTTGAATTCCGTCCTCCAACTGTATGAATGTTAATGTCTGAGTTGCTTTGCTGGAACAGTGTTTCTGGTGTTGCTCCATGAGTTTCATTCACAGTGTTTCAGTGGGGAAGGACGAGCACCTTTGACATAAGTGTGTTGCACAAAGCAAATGATTCATTGGTTGAGGAGCAGAGTCCCCATTTTATGTGCTTCTGTGCCAGTTTCCATTTAGCTTATCTTCTTCCTGTAAGCATAACTTCTCCACATAAGGATCCCATGTCCTTCCAGGGAATGTTTACCGTGCTTATCTAACGTGTTTTTGCTGTGAGAGGTTACAGGTTCTTGGATTCCATGTGCTGATTAAATCACTGAGATTCTTCCACTGATTTTAGTGAGTTTCTATGTTTCTTTCCTTTGCTGTTTTGTACCATTAAAACAGAGATAATAATTTCCAGCTATTGCTCACAAGATAGGAATGATCTTCCCAAACAATCATCTGATATTTTTAACTACAGTGTTTTACTCCAGAGAGCTCTTTTAAAGCTTGGTTTGTGTTCTGAGCAATATGTAGGTTAAACACTAAAAAATTCAGCACATTTTTGGCAGTGGTTCTCCATTTCTCTGTTTGTCTGTTCGAGTAACTTCCAGTTCGTGGATCACAGGTGGTCTCAGAATCTCGGCTGAGCATCCTGCAGATGCTTGCTGGCTGGTGTGCTCCATCAGGGTGGATGAGCAGTTGTGCCTGCTTGGGTGGGACTGTGATGCTACCACTGTGGAACACCCCCCTGCCAGTCGTGGTGCAGTGTGGCAACCCCCCTGCACCAGGTATTCTGTGTAACTAGAGATTCCTCTCCCTAGAGAAGCACTATGCACTCTGGGCTGGGAGGAGTATCTGCTCTCTGTGAATGGGGGACTGGGCTCTTCAGGTGGGACATGACGACTTCCAGTCCTGGAAGGGATTTAATTGGACTTGGACTTAATTTTAAGAGCGTTGACACTTTGTGCTATGACAGTAATAACCAGAAGGCTCAAATACCCAGGCATGTATCTAGAACTGCAGTTGTGCTGAGCCACAGCAAGTTGTGTGCTGGATAGAGAGCACACGCTTACCCATGCCAGGGCACAGTGGTGGGGGCTTCCCAAGGAGGTCTGTCAGGGCAGGGCCTGGCAGCCAGGGCCTATTCCACTGCCCCAGCTGAGGGGGCACCAGGGCTGCCCCAGCCCTCGCATCAGGGACCTTTCTGGGGGTGTGCTGAGGCTGTACTGGCATGTGTGCTGCTCTCAGGTTGGCTGCACCACTGCAGGGGCCACAGCTCAGCCACAAGCCAGAGGTAAGAGCACCAGCAGCTCTCAGAGGATAGGAGCCACAGTGCCTCTCAGCTGAACCTGGTTGCAGACAGGCAAACCCCATGCTCGCAGCCCTGACACCAAGGCTGAGAGGCCTTTTCTGGCTGCACCATCGAGAACACAAGCTACATGAGAACAAAATGATCCCCACAGTCAGTTGTCCATGAGACAGGGAGATGTCACTATCTGGTTCTAGGTGACAGGACGGGAGTGGCAGGTCATAATTACCTCCTCTCCAGGCATAAGTGATTTTTTTAAATTGCAAGTATGCACCAGCTTCAAGACTTCAGGAAATTGCTGAAGCTGTGAAGGGTTGGGCCATGAGCTGGGCTGTGACTCATGCACCAGCAGGCAGGGAGCCTCTCCCTTCGGTGGAGCTGGCAACCTGCCTGCTTTTAATGGTGGGTTAGAATTGTTTCTTTTTTTTTTTTTTCTGTCCTGACAGAGGATCTCAGTACCTTTTGGTGCAAGCCAGCTAAAATTTACGATGCAGAACTGCAAGAATAGTGCATGGATATGTCATATCTCCCTGTTCCCTCCAAGAAGCATGGGAGAAGCCCCATAAGGCCAGGGTTTCCCTGTCATGACTAACTAGTATGCACTGCAGCATCTTGGCAGAGATTGGTGGGTTCAGTGGGTGATCCAGCTGCCTTCCTGTCTCCCTGTCCTTCCTGCACCCACAGCCATGCTGGCAGTGCTCCCCGTCCAGTGTCAAGTAAGGGATGTGGGCAGTGTACAGGTGCTGTATCACATGCACTGAAGTCAGTCACCTGCTTTCCTGAGCAAGTGCAGGATATTTGTCTTCTGTCCTGTTGAGCAACAAGGGTTAGGTTGTCAGAGCTTTCTATTGTTGTCTTAAGAGACTGTGGAGAAAAAGACTCCAGGCCAATTTAGTGTATAAGATAAGATAAAGAGAGTGGGTCCTTTAATTAGGTCTCAGGCCAGGGGAATACACATAGCAGTGGGCTCACCCAGACAGTGGTCCAATTGATTTTATAATAAGGTCCATCCAATCCGAGATCTGCCCATCCCCTGGTTTTGCTCAGTGACACACCCCTTTGAGAATTAGATCTGGGGGCGTTTGGGACCCCTTCTTCCTCGTTCATCTTCTTCGCAGCACGTACAGCCCTTGGAGCTCCTCCAAAGTTCTGGGCTTGAACAGAGTCGCTGTGTCTGTGTGATATCTTCTGGTCCAGGCCTAGGGTGCTTTTCTACAATCCTACCTTGGAAAGAAGACTAAACACGCTAACGGAATTTAGAGGGATTGATATGAAATGGTGTAATAGGGTTGGATATGTGTAAACATTATGCTACAGGATACAATACAGCTACATTCAAATCTACATTTACTACACAACTACTTCTAAAATCTGCAAAAGTTAAAAAAGTTCAAAAAGCTCTGAGGCATCACTATAAAGGTCTTCAGTTACTTTCTTACTTCCATTAAGAGTATGAATGAGTTGCCAGTCATTTTGCAGTGCTCCTCAAATCAAAGAAAGTAATTTTATGAATAACAGAAATGAGAGGAAAAAATTGCTCTGTTTGAGGTATTTGGCTCCATATACAACTTTATTTTCTCCCCCCCACCAAATTTAGAAAAGAATAATTTATTCTCATATGAGAAGATTCCTTATGTTTTCAACAGTTTCCAGCAGTTTGTGTTTATACGGTAAAATTGAAGATTACTTGGCTGAACTTTTGAAGAGTATATATAAAGCTTCTATTTACATCCTGTAGATGGTTAAATCCCTGGGAAATGAACTGTGCTTCATGCTGGCCTCAAGAACTGCCTTGGGGGGGGCTCCATTGCAGACCCTGAATTTTGCTTTAATCATAACATCATAGAATGGTTTGGGTTGGAAGGGACCTTAAATATCATCTAGTTTCAACTCCTCTGCCATTGACAGGGACACCTTTCATTATACTA